TGAGAGGGGGGGGCAGGCAAACCAAGAAAGTGGAGCATACTCAAGGTGCGAGTGTACTTGTGCCTCGTACAGAATCTTGCAACCCCTACTGTCAAGTAGATGCGAGATACGGCGAAGTGCTGTAAGCTTCCTGGCTGCCTTGTTTGCAAGATTTAGAACATGGTTCTTCATGGTTAGTTTGGAGTCAAATTTCACCCCAAGGATATCAACTTCTTCTCCAGGTGCCAACACCCTTCCATTCATCCTTACTACTGCACCAGCATTTCCATCATGGTGCCTAGAGACGATCATTTGCGTTTTCTCAGGTGCAAATGTTACTTGCCATCTATTATCTCTCTTTCTCTCTCTCTCTTTCTCTCTCTTTTTTTTTTACTCAGGGTTTAACAGAGTTAGAGTAAGGGTTCCTAACTTTATTTACAAGCTAAGAGCTGTTACCTACATCAGCTCATTTGAAAGCCTTTTTATTATGAAACATATGGGTAGGGAACAGGACGAAGCTGGGCCAGCATTTTCATTTGATCAACTGACTTTATCTTTTTGATATCATTATGCTATACAAACATGTTCCAGACTTGAGACATCCTGGGAATAAATGATCTCAAATAGTGATGTTCTGGAGAAGGGTACAGTCAGAGTGAAGTTGCTGCTTGCTGCTTGTCTTGTTGTGTAGAAGCTCGCTTCTCTCTGTTCTGGGAGTGGAGCCAAGTGCAGTACTTTGAGAATATTGGCCTTGTACAAAACAGTAAGGCCACCCATATCCCTCTGGTGTTGAAGGCTCTGCTGAAATGACAGATCTATCCAGGCTGGGTCTAGGCAAGAGATGAGTCATCTTGCTCTGTTCTCTATTCTGTCATGAAGTCGCAGATGAGAAAAGGGGCAGGCAACCCAGGAAAGCGAAGCATATTCAAGGTGTGAGTATACTTGTGCCTCATACAGAATTTTGCAACCTCTACTGTCGAGCAGATGCAAGATACATTGAAGTGCTGTAAGTGTCCTGATCACTTTGTTTGCAAGATTTACAACGTGACTCTTCGTGGTTAGTTTGGAGTCAAATTTCACCCCAAGGATATCAACTTCATCTCCAGGTACCAACACTCTCCCATTCATACTTATTAATGGCGCATTATTATTATTATAATAAGAAAGAAGTGCTAAACCACAAGGGTTCTCAGGAGCAAATGTTACCTGCAATTGGTTTCCCCAGGCTGATATAACTCTTAGCTGTTGATTGATGTAGCTTAGAGCAGCTGGCATTTCCTCCCCTGGATAAGTAAATGTCAGAGTACAGTCATCTGCATATGCATGGGATTCTGGGATGAGATGAAGGTCATTGAGGTAAACATTCCATAACAATGGCCCAAGCACACTTCCCTGTGGTATGCTTGCCCCAATAGGACGTCTTGCTGACCGTCCCATTGAGAACTACACTGAGGGTAATCCCTCAGGAGACATAGTGTAGTGCCTGTAGTACCCAGTGCTTACAGTTTTGCCAAGAGGCCTTGGTGCCGTACTCAGTTGAAAGCACCAGCACTGTCGTCCAGTGCTACTACACAGCTGACTTTAATTTCATCCAGTGACTGGTGCTACTTAGTGGAGAGTAACCTTTCCTGAAGCCATATTGACAGTCACAAATTAGTGAGTGGTAGCCAAAAAACTTTCATTTGTTGTATGACTGTCTCAAGGATCTTGCCAGTGATTGATGGGAGTGACAATGGTCTATAGTTGCTGATTTCTGCTCTTCTCTTTTTGTGAACAGGTACTACATTTGCATCTTTCCACAGATAAGGCCATTTACACTGTACTAGGCAGTGCTGAAAGATGCAAGTTAGAAGTGCTGCTAGCTGGTCTGCACATCTACTCAGCAATCTTGGGCTCGCAGCCTTTTCTTGGTCCAGCGATTTAAGAAGACGATGCACCTCCACCTGCCTTATTGTCACCACTGTCAGCTTTGACACAGTTCATGCAGCTAGCTAAGGAAGGTCTCTTGCTGGCTCAGGAACTTGCATTTACACAGCAAAGTGATCAGCAAAGAGGCCAGCTTTCTCCTTACTACTAATAGAAGTGGTCCCATCCTTTCAGTTTAGAGGTGGAATAAGTTCATCAGGTAGATAATCTTGTCTGTCCTTGACCAAGGACCACCAGGTTTTGGAGCCCACTCTACCTGATGCTAGCTTTCTTTTTGTGTCTGCCTCCCATTTAGAGATGGCACACTTTTGAACTTCACCCATATGCCTACAGGCTTGCCTCTGCAAGTTCCTGTTATAGGTAGTGGGATGTCTCTTATACCTTTGCTAAGCCTTGTACTTTGCAGTAGTAGTATCTCTACGTTGAAGGCTGAACCAAGGCTGATCTGTAGGCTTCATCACATACTGCCGGTGAGGGATGTGTTGTTGTAGATTAAGGATGTGTCCAGTGAAGGCTTTCACTTGGTTGTTAACATCACCTTGGAGAAGAGCATTCCAATTGGAGGTGGCGAGCTCAGAGCAAAGAGCTGGCCAGTTTCCTCTTTCCCACAACTAGGTTGTATGTGTGGATTCCTCATCTCGTTCTGTTAGGATCTTCAGTGTCGTAAAAACAGCCTTGTGGCCAGAGGATCGAACATAACCGAGGGGTCGACAAGTGACTATACTTTCTGCAAGATCTCTCACTACTGGGTTGAAGGAGGATCGAGAGATGCGAGTAGGGAAATCAACAAAGTTTCTCATGTCAAACACTATAAGAAGGTCATCACAGTTCCTCTATATAAGATGTTGGTTGAGGCCACCAACAATTATAATATGTTGGCATTTGTGTTGGAGCAGAAGGGAGTCCACATTTCCCATTAGGAAGTTGATGGAGTCTGCATGTTGCCACTGAGGTCTACATTGTGCATGCTAGAACAGGGGTACTAGTGGTTATGCATAGCTTGAAGAACATCATATAAAGATGAGTAGGGATGGCAACATCAATGGGCTGGGCATGTACAATTTTAGAAAAAGCACACAGTAACACCACCTTGCCCATGCCTGTCTCTTCTTATCCATGAGGTGTAGCCAGTAATTCTTGCAAAATTTTCAGAGCCCTGTCATCCAAAAATGTTTCAACAACAGCTATTATGTCGGGAAGTCATGTGTTCACGAAACTGTGCGCGAGTTCTCCAACATTGGTGATGAATCCTCTTATGTTGGCCGACAGGATGCTAATAGATTGACTCGTGATTATGTTCAGCTTAAGGTGGTGGGTGTGACAGGTAGGACACAGGGGCAGCTGTTGGGATGTAGGTCTGTAGTCTTGTATAAGGCACAAAACCACCTGCTGGGCTGAGATGGGAGTAGCTCTCTGTGCGTGCATGTACGTGTGTGCATGCGTGCATGCTCGTGCGCACACACCAATTCAGAGATCCTGCTGATTTGTTCAGAGAACAGAACTCTTAAACAGGTGATCCTGTTTGTCAGATTCCTTTTTCTTGTGACACTGGTACACTGACTTCAGTTATTTGGCATACAGACTCTGCATCTTTAAGAACTTCTTTAAGAAAACACAATTGAAAGTAGTCACTCAGGTGGTGTAAGTCCCTTGTGTCATTCCTAGTCAAAGTTACCACAGATGTCCAGTACACCTACACTGTTGATTTTTTTAATTCATCTACTAAACTGTGCTACATAATAAAGAGGTTTAAAGTTAGCTGCATGGTACCTTCTTTCTGGATATGTATTGACAATCACATAGTAGTGAATGATAATAAAAAACTTTGTATTTCCAAGAATTTGAGATCTTTGTATACCTTTTCAAGTTTTATTGTCACCATGGTAAACTTTGACACAGTTCTTACAATTAGTAATATATGTTGACTGGGTCTGCAATTTAATTCTTGGCAGCAAAAATTGTTTACAAATATGGTCAGTCTTCTCTTTATCTGTTAGCTGCAGTTCCGTTCTGTTGATTTAGAGGTGGAATTGTTCATTTAGTGAATATTTCTGTTGGTCATTGACCAAAGGTTACTTGTATCTGCCTCCCATCAAGTAATGGAGCAGTTTTAAACTTTATCCATTTGCCAACAAACTTATCTGTGGAGATTTGTGTTGTGGATAGAAGGGAAAAAAACATTTTGTACCTACTCCAAGATTTGTATTAATAGCCTAAGCTGGCTCATGCCATTAATAGCCAAACAAAAGTCTGATCCAAAGGCTTAGTTATGTACTGACGGTGAAGGCTGTACTTGTGCTGGAGAGTTCGAATGTGTTTAATGAGCAGGTTTGCCTGGTTGTTACCAGAACCTAGGAGAATGGCAGTCCATCCTTTGGCAGCAAGATCGGAGCAAAGGTCTAGCTAATCTCCCTTCTACAGCCAGACTGTACAAGATGATTCTTCACTTCATTTTATTGGTATCTTCTGTGTTGCAAAGACATCTTTATTAACTGATGAGTCAAAGTATCCGAATGACTTATTAGTAAATGCATCTTGAGCTGGATTACTGACTAGGTATAAAAGGAAGCCAGAGATGTCTACAAAGTTTGTAAGATTAAAAATAAAAGTGTTCATTAAATTATTTTTGTATGATGTATTTTTTGTGGTCAGCATACATGATCTGTTTAGAGTTAAGCTGCAATAGGTGTTTTAGGCATGTAGATATGGAGAGGGATATGATGACAAAGAGGGTGTATAAATCTAAGGTGGAAGATAGGACCAGTAGGGCTTGTCCCAGGAATGGTTGGAGGGAGTTGGTAAAAGAGGCTTTGAGTTTTAAGGGCTTGAAAATCCACCTGGCTTGTAGGAGCATGTTAGATAGGGATGAATGGAGAAAAGTGGTTTTTAATGGACTTCCTCTTGGCGTGTGATAAAGATAACATATGAAGGGATTCAGGGGAAACTGGTTACAGGGACTTAGAGAATATGTCATGTATTATTGATTTTCAAATATTTCTTGATCTGCATATATTTTTGTGCTGGCAGGATACATGGCAATTTATTTTTATTGTGAATACTTATTGTAATCAATATTAATACATCTCTTTTTCCAGCAAAGATTGGCAAGCAGTGCAGAAGACATTCCGCTAACAAGTAAAAGATCAAAATTAGTTGAAGGTGATAGAGAAACTTTAGAAACAAGCACGGATAATGGTGTTGATAGACTTAGCAGTGAAAAAGATAACTGTATTGTACAAAATGGAGAGAATGAACCTGAAGTGAAAAAAGAACTTGGAGTTGACAATAATAAGGTGAATGATCTGAAAAGTGAATCTCTAATTAATGGTGAGATAAAAGATGAACCATCAGAAAATAGAGACAATAAAGTTAAAACTAGAACTGATGATGATGTGAGAAATTGTACTCCTGCTTTTATTAGTAATGTAAAGGGTGAAAAAATTGACGATGTTTGTGTTAAAGTGGAGAAGGAAGCTAAAACAGAAAATGGTAAGACTGAAAGTCCCACTAGAGCTGAAGATGATAATGGAAGTGAGAATCAGGAATCTCCATCTTGTAATGGTTTTGTGAAAGAAGAAGAGAAAGATCAGAAAGAAGATAGCTATGATGAAACCAAACCCAAGTCCCCTTCATCTCCAAAAGAACTTGCACCTATTTATGACGCATCTCCTTACCTTCCTCGCTTGGAAGATTTTGAGCTTGTAGTCTCGTCTGTTGAGCAACTGCGAGCTCTCATCCAAAAGTTTGGAGATCTGCCTGATGGATCAGCAGAAGACGAAGAAAAGGGTAACCAAAAGAAGCTAAAGGTAAGATGTGGTCTCTGTATTTATATATTCATCTAAATTTATAATTTTTTTTTTTTGCGCCCCTAGGCACACATTTACAATTAGTTGCACATGATAGAGAAGTCTTTGTGTAACGCACGTGCGCACACGTGTACACAGGCATGCACACACACATTAAACTACAGTCCAGTGTCACTGACTTGTATAGTATGCAAAGTCTTGGAGATGATTATCAGGAGAAGAGTGGTGGAACACCTACAAACGAATGAGCTTATCAGTGACAACCAGCATGCTTTCAGGGATGGGAAATCCTGTATCACAAGCCTACTGGAGTTCTATGATAGAGTGACAGCAGTAAGACAAGAGAGAGTGGGGTAGGTCGATTGCATTTTCTTGGACTGTAAAAAGGCGTTTGACACAGTTCCACACAAGAGATTAGTGCAAAAGCTAGAGGACCAGGCAGGGATAACAGGGAAGGCACTGCAATGGATCAGTGAATTCCTGTCGAGAAGACTATAGCTAGTCATGGTACGTGACGAGGTGTCAGTGGGTGTTACGTCCTTTGTTCACAATTTAAGAAGGGTCATCTGATTAGTGTGTAATTTCGGCTTTTTCACTTAGTATTATATTACTGGTACCTTTATTCATAGCTAAAATAAAGATTCCTAGTTTTAAAATACAGTGGACCCTCGCTTTACGATCACCTCCCAATGCGACCAATTATGTAAGTGTATTTATAAGAACATAAGAATGGAAGAACACTGCAGAAGGCCTACTGGCCCATACAAGGCAGGTCCTTATCTAAACGACCTCTACCCAAAGCTACCCAAGAATTAACTCCCGTATCCAGTGACACTAATCAAACCCAGCCCCTCCCACTCATATATTTGTCCAGTCTCTTCTTAAAGCCCCAAGGTCCTAGCCTCTATCACCCCACTGGAAAGATTGTTCCACGCATCCACAACTCTGTTAGAAAACCAGTACTTACCTATGTCCTTTCTAAATCTAACTTTATCCAACTTAAATCCATTATTTCTGGTTCTTACCTGGCTCGACACCCTCAATACCTTATTAATATCTCCTTTGTTTGTATGTTTGTGCGTTTGTACGTGTATGTTTGGGGGTCTGAAATGGACTAATCTAATTCACAATATTCCTTACAGGAATAAATTCGTTCAGTACTGGCACCTGAACATTCTTCTGGAATGAAATAATATCGTAAACCGGGGGTCCACTGTATTATCTGGCCATGAATTATTGATTTATTTTGTCTGGTAGGATGTTTTATAAACCTGCAGTGTTTAGTATTCATATGTTGAATTGCCTTGTGGTCGTTTATGCCTCACAAACTCTCACTTATTCCAAGGTGACGTCGAGCAAGGGAGTTTTACCCATAGTAGTTCATTCTCACCTCTGGTAGAGAAAACACCAAGCCACGGAGCTCTCTTAATCTCTTGTTGCAAACCCCAGGAGAACCTTTGAACCTGGATCCCTAGGTTCAACTGAGGTTGCTTGGATTACGTCAGTGTTGGAATACTTGACGGGTTACGTCTGTGTAGTCAGCCGTTCAGTGAAGCAGTTTGGTGAATAGACTACGTCTGTGTTCTACAACCATTGAAGTCTCGTGATAAAGAGTTTCTAACCAGTTCTAGCTGTAGTGTATATAACTGATTGATGAAGGGGTAAAGGAATCCTATCCTGTACTTCATTTGCTGTCAGAGGTCCCAGTAATGTATTGTGGTCATTGATTATGAAACTATAGTGATTGTATACATATGAATGTATAAGAAAAGGTATACCTGAATTATTCATGTCCTACCTTTAAGTACAGGACTTTTATCAATTATTTAATTTACTAAGTAACTCTATAAGCTTAGTATTATACTGAATAAAACCAGATAAAGCATTATAGAACTTTTTTGCCTTGTATATATATATATATATATATATATATATATAATATATATATATATATATATATATAATATATATATATATATATATATATATATATATAATATATATAATATATATATAATATATATATAATATATATATAATATATATATAATATATATATATATATATATATGGTAGTAGGTTGGTAGACAGCAACCACCCAGGGAGGTACTACCGTCCTGCCAAGTGAGTGTAAAACGAAGCCTGTAATTGTTTTACATGATGGTAGGGATTGCTGATGTCTTTTGTCTGTCTCATAAATATGCAAGATTACAGGCATGTCTTGCTACTTCTACTTACACTTAGGTCACACTACACATACATATACACATTTATTCATACACACTCATCTGAGTTTTCTTTGATTTTATCTTAATAGTTCTTGGTCTTATTAATTTTCCTTTTATATCCATGGGGAAGTGGAATAAGAATCTTTCCTCCGTAAGCCATGCGTGTTGTAAAGCAACTAAAATGCCGGGAAAAATGGGCTAGAAACCCCTTTTTTCCCTGTAAGATTAAAAAGAATAAAAGAAGAAAATTGTCAAAGTGGGAATTTGAATGTGCGTGGATTTTGGCAATATAAAAGAGATGATTGTGGTGTTATGAAGAAAGAAGGGGGATGTCCTGGCTTTAATGAAACAAAGCTAAGGGGGTGGGAGAGTTTCAATGGAGAGGGAAAAATGGGATTAGGTGGGGTTTTTAAAATAGAGTTAGAGTAAAGAAGGAGTAGCAATAAGTTGAAGGATAAGTTTGGGGGGGAAAAGAGGGAATAAATGTAAAATTTAAAAGATTATGGGAGTTAAATAAAGATTGATGTGAAAAGTGGGTTTTAAAAGCGTGTAGCACTGGAGAAGAGAGAAGTGTAGAGGAGAAGGGGAGGAAATTTTGGGGGATGTTTAGTGAATGCGTGGGGGGTTTTGACTCAAGTGGAAGTAATGGGGTTGGGGGGTTTCAAGCTAAAGTGGGTAAAAATGTTTGGAGGGAGTAGTAGGGAAATTTTTGGGGGCCAGGGGTAAAGTAAATGGGGGGCCTTTTAATTGACTATGTGTGAAAGAAATTTGGTAATAAGTAATAATATTTTATGAAAAAAAGGATAAAAAAATATACAAGGTAGATTGGGACGTAAAGAAAGTAGTTTATTAATTAGTATTGGTGGGTAAAAAAGGGTTTATGGGTAGGCCCAGGGTGTCATGTTTATAGAGGGGCAAGTATATCGGATCATTTTTTAGTTGTAGCTACTTTTGGTAAGAGGAGATGGGAAAAAGGAAGGGGCAACAAAGTAAAAGGGGGGTGAAAGTGTAAAAACTAAGGGAGGAGGAAGTTGGGCGAGATATAAGCGCTATTACGAAAAGGGGGGATAGTGCAAAAAGGTAATGGGGGGGTTTAAGAGGGGTTGGGAAAAGTTTTTAAAAAAGCAGTATTTAGAATGTGGGGCAGAAGTGTGGTTATAGGAGGGTGGGTGCAGGGGGGAAAGAGGAGGATTGGTGGGAAAGATGAAGTAAGGGTTTTGATAAAAGAGAAAAAAGGGGCTATGAGAGGTTTTTCAAAACAGAATGTTAAAAGGAGAAATATGGGAAATAAAAGAAAGGTAAAGAGTTTGGGGAGAGAGTGCAAAAGGAGAGAGATGATAGAGTGGGAGGGCACTGTCAAGAAATTTTAATGAAAAATAAGAAAAAATTTTGGAGTGAGTTAAAAAAGTTAAAAAGCAAGGGAAAAAAATGGATTGTCATTGA